CCCCAAAACCCCAAAACCCCAAAACCCCAAAACCCCTAAAACTTCTTAATTCATAGAATAAATATAAAAAATGCCAAAAACTTCTCCACCTCTCAAAATCAGCATCACAAACTCCAAAAAATCCAAAAACTCCCTCAAAGGTACAATCCCACAAGTCTTTTAACCCCTAAAATCCTCCCTTCCCCTAATTTCCCTTCAAAATTCCTCTTTTTCTTCCATTCACATATATCCCAAACCCTGAATTTCCGTCCAAGTTTCTGCTTAACAGACTTATAGTGAAGAGAAGTAGGAATTTATCTAGAAATATTACTGAAGGCAGCGGAGATACTTTATAAGATACACTATGAAACCATACATTAATCCAGCTGGGATTTGAGAAATTGCCCCAGGTAAGATAATTGTTTAACAGCAATTCATTATACTTTTAGGTCGCTTAATTACTCTGAAAACAGCCCAACAGAAAAAACCAATGTACGTGATAGACAAGATAGATAGGTCAAGAGAGCTGGATATCACAAAATATCTCAAAATGAGAAGTTTCAGACACTGAAAAGCGATAAAAATCAATTTAAAGAACACAAAAAGACTCAAATAAAGAAACCACCTCTCCTCCCCTTCATAACCCCCACATAAGCCCCAAAAATCAAAGGTACTCCCTCTCTAACCCCCAGAACCACATCCCAAGACCCCTCCAAACCCAACCCCACCACCATAAATCCCTCTCTCACCCTCCAAAACCCCATATCCCACCCCCACATCCCCCAAAACCCCACCAAAATTCCCCAAAACTCCTCAAAACCCTCAGCATCCATCCCCCACAAGCGTCCGTCCCTCTGCAGCCCCAAAGAGACTCCCTTCGTGCGGTACCTCCGCAGTACTCTCCAGAACGATTACGAAAGAAGCTGCCTGAAGATCCCTGAGTCTATTAATGCGAAAATAAATATGTATAAGTAGGAATGATAAGTGAGGTTTTAGGGATAAGTTAAGACGTACAGTCACAATTATGGAAGAAAAGAGAAAGTCTGCTCTAAAGCTGCCAATCAAGGCCGACCAGGTAATACCCGAATCTAAGTTCAGGAGGTCACGAAGGGAAGAATGCGAAACTGTAGCACTTCCACAGAACTGGAGAGGTACCAAACAAGAGGAAAGTGAAGTACGAATAATTTTAACTCGGAGGTTTAGGTGCTTGTAAATTGATGTTTGAGACAGAAAAGTCACGGAAGTAGGATTGTTGAAAAATGTTTAGAGATTTGAGAACAATAAGAACCTCTGATTTTAATAAAGATCCAAAATCAAAGTATATGCAAAATTATAACAATAGAATCAACTACAAATAACCCTAAAACTTTTGTCGCAAAATGGCAAACTTCAGACTCAATTTCCCCTAAGAAGCACCATAAATCGTCCCACAAAATCCCAAAATCTTCTTCTCAGCCCTTATTCAAGTTCGAATATAGCAAGAACTATTACAATTACGGTGACAACAAGGATCTTAAGTTCTATGTAAAAAACATTGGAGACCTAGTAAAGACTCAAGAGAGCCAATCCACACTAACGTAATGCAGCTTAATAACTTTAGACTGTCAAAGAATTAGCCCAGCTTGGTGCTAAGACATCGAGATTCATAAGTTTCAACTAAGTTTAGAAGGATTGGGGTTTTGGGGTTTTGGGGTTTTGGGGTTTTGGGG